TGATCAGAAGGTGTCTGTTCCTATTGTTTTTTTTTTCTTTTAGTAGGAGCACTTAGTGCTCCTGAAAAGAAATGTAAGCATAGAGTCCTTATAATGTTAAAAAATAAATGCAAACATTTTTGCAAAATGTAAACTATTAAATATAATCAACAAATCATGCAATACTGTACCAGTAAATAAGTGTTTTGAGGGCTTAGCTAAACAGGCCAATTATAGACACTAATCCTTCTCATTTTTTATTAAATCATTCTTTAATTTCACTAATCAATCTTTTTTTTTATTGAACACAGGGGGTCATTAATGATGCTTACATTATAACATGTGCAAATTCACACACAACGTATCTTTAATTTGTCCAGAATTGCAGGTGCTTGTCTTAATATACAAGAAGGTTTAGAGAAAAGATTAAATAAGTTGTTAATAAATGTTATTATAGATTATAAAGTGTTTTATAATTAAATATATCCGAAAGGTCATTAAAAATTCCCATTTTATTTATATTTATATTTGGGAGAAGGTGTAACTAACATTTTCATGAATCCCAACAATTTGTCAGAATGGACTACAGAACAAAGAACATTTTAGAGGAAGTAATGTTCTGTGTTCATAGGTTTACTGAACATGCAGGGACTGGGATGCTGGGGGGGGGGGACAAAATCAGGTTGATTTAGATCATAGCCTAGACTACTATCGCACTGGGTCAGTGCACATGCATAGACACATCCATCATTTCAAGATGTCATGACAACAGCCCGGTTCCAACTGGTATCCACCTTTTTATCTACGCCCCATGACGCTTTGTGCAAATAATGGGAGTAACTTCCCTTTACACTGTAAACAACCAGTAAAGGTTTGGCTCTATGAACACAATAATAAGAATTTTCAAAAAACGGTACAATAAGGTGATATTATTTAACTCACCCTTCAACCACCGATCATTAAAAGGATATTTAAAAGTGGAAAACATTAACAAATTAACTCCTAAAGATCCTCCTTCTATCTGCAGCAATATTACGGACATGTTAAATATCATTATAGTAATATGTCTTACAGCATTGTGAAAAAAAAAACTTTTTTAAAAATGCATAACATTTTAAAGAGTATTAAAAATCTTTTTGTTTGTTTGTAATAATTGAAGCGCTACAGAATTCTGGGCTCTCTGTCAACATCTGTGGTTGGCAGATGCAACTGAAAAAGACAATTAAAAGAACCAATCACATTTTGGAACATAAGTTACTCCTCACGTAGGGCTGGATGATATGACCAAAATTTATATCATCATTTCAAGATGTCATGACAACAGCCCGGTTCCAACTGGTATCCACCTTTTTATCTACGCCCCATGACGCTTTGTGCAAATAATGGGAGTAACTTCCCTTTACACTGTAAACAACCAGTAAAGGTTTGGCTCTATGAACACAATAATAAGAATTTTCAAAAAACGGTACAATAAGGTGATATTATTTAACTCACCCTTCAACCACCGATCATTAAAAGGATATTTAAAAGTGGAAAACATTAACAAATTAACTCCTAAAGATCCTCCTTCTATCTGCAGCAATATTACGGACATGTTAAATATCATTATAGTAATATGTCTTACAGCATTGTGAAAAAAAAAACTTTTTTAAAAATGCATAACATTTTAAAGAGTATTAAAAATCTTTTTGTTTGTTTGTAATAATTGAAGCGCTACAGAATTCTGGGCTCTCTGTCAACATCTGTGGTTGGCAGATGCAACTGAAAAAGACAATTAAAAGAACCAATCACATTTTGGAACATAAGTTACTCCTCACGTAGGGCTGGATGATATGACCAAAATTTATATCACGATATATTTCTTAATTTCGGTAGATACAATATAATTCCGATATCGATATGAACACTATAAAAAAAAGCCTAATAAAAACTGCCAAGAACACCCACAACAGATGTATGTACCTAAAAGCTTCTGAAAAATGAATTTTCCAAGTCTATGAAACCTCCTCCAAAAAAGAAAAAAAAAAATACAGCACAAATAAATTAATTTGTGATTATATCAAACTATAGGCTGACATACACTACTAGTCAAAAGTTTTTGAACAGTAAGATTTTTAATGTTTTTTAAAGAATTCTCTTCTGCTCACCAAGCCTACATTTATTTGATCGAAAATACAGCAAAAACAGTAACATTTTGAACTATTTTTACTATTTAAAATAACTGTTTTCTATTTAAAAATATTTTAAAATGTGATTTATTCCTGTGATTTCAACACGCACCTAAAGCCCCCCAAAAATGGTCAAGCAGGAATACCAAAATAGACATAATTTGTATTTACCAAAACCATAACATAGGAGAATACCTACAGTACCCACACAATAAGGCCAACATATCTGGTAAACGAGACCTTACCAAGATCAATTGAAACACAGGAGTATACATGCTACAAACAAAGGAACCTAGATGAGAAACAGATTAACCAAATCAAACAATCCATCAGTAACCACTAAACTAATTAATACCGGGAACAGCAGAAACGGGAACCAAACACATGAGCTAAAGAAAACACAAACATTACATAATCATGATAGAAATGGAGCAGAGCTGTTTTAAATTCACTGTAAACAATGGCTTAACAGGGCTTATTGCTTTATTTGATGTTTCTGAGATTTGAGTTAGTTAGAAGCTGTACTTGCATGACTGGAAAAAACTGTTTGGAGAAAGGCAGCAACTGGGTGACTGACATCTTGTTTGAGTGGTAAAAATGAAAAACTCATTTTAACAACCATTTTGTGACCAAAACTTTTTTCCATATTGTCACTAGATTTTTAATGTTTTTTTTTTACATTTCATTTATCTGAATTTTTAAATACTCTAATTACAAATTCTATAGCTGTGATGCATTAATTTCCACTGCCTCTACCAACGAGAACATTTCTTTAGGAATTGAATGTTTGACATGATTAAATCTGAAAGCTTACTTGAATGTAAATGACTGAATCTAAAGCTAATATCTAATAGCCCTTGCATCCAGCATCAACATGAGATGTTTAACCAATGTCCTGAATCTTTGCTGCAGGCAGCTGAAATGTGCACCATCAAATTCCATTGCAAAGTGTGGAGAATGATGTAGCTTAATTTAAACAAATAGTTCAACCCAAAAATGAAAAAATGTACGTATTTTGGCCAGAAGCAATGGTTTAAAGTTAAAATGGCTAATGATGGATTTGTTTTAAATCCATACAGCTTTTCACTTCACTTGGTGAGTAAGGAATGTAATGTTAAATGCTGGTGTCCAGATGATATATACCATTCCATCCATGCATTCTTTTGCTGCCTATACAATCCCTTCTCCAATAAAATATGAGTTTTTGTCATTGTCTTCTGCCTCTTTAAAAAGTTTAAGAATAGTAACAAATTGTTTGTGTATGAGCCTTAATATAAATAAATAATTTAAAAAATAAAGCATTTAGTTGACCTGGGGCCTGTTTCATAAAACAAGTTTACCAAATAAGTCAGGCTTATTTCAGTTAGTCTGACTTATTTTGAGCCAAATCAGTTTACAATAAGTCAGACTAACTGAAATAAACCTGGCTTATTTGGTAAACTTGTTTTATGAAACAGGCCCCTGGAAGTAAAAATAAATAAATACAGAAAAAAGTAGTCAAGCTTTGATATAGTAGTTGACTGGGGGAAGGTAGTGGGGAAGGGACTCCTCTTTTTCAAACCAAATCAGATTAAACAATGTTCCCCAACACTGCGTATAAGGTATAAGACATATCTCACACAAGGATAAGAACTCTGCTAGTATGTCAATAGTTATGGTAAGTCTAACTTACAAAGCCCTGATTTGATAAACCAGTTTGCAAGAATGCAAAATAGAGAGTGCCCGAGGCATCTTTGTGATTTGTGATTTTGTTGGTACTCATTTCGATTGGTAACAGCCTTATAGTGCCATATTATTTTTATTGTTAAAATGTAAGTATTTGGCATGAAAGATGATGCATGCATACATCTAATAAGGATATGTGAAAAAAAGCCCTTTAAAAGCAAAAAATACACTGGAAATCAATTTAAGGGCGCAATATTATGAATATGCCTATAAGTAAGAGCTCACAGAAGGCTGATTTATGTAGTCTATGTATGTAAAGCTTTTTCCCTTGATTTTTGTCAGAAGTTTCTGTCAGCAGAAATTATTAATTATTTTGTGAATTTATATAAAATCATTTCCTATTTACTTTATTCATCAATAAAGCCACATAACCTTTAAAATTGGCTTTTGAAGTCACATAGTCAAAGGGAGCTCAATGTAGTTTCAGTTGATTGTAGCATACAGTAAATACACCTTTGTCTCTATTTCCTGTGGCATGTCCTAAAGGTCTTTCACTTTCTGACTAAATAGTTGATTTAGGAACATTCTTACGAACTTACAAAGAACTATACGTTTTTTCTCAAGAAGGTTTTTTTGTGACTCTGGCCCCAGATCTCAACTAAAGTGAGAATTTATGGGTGGAACTGGAAAAGGCTGTCCACTTATGATGTCCTTGTGCTTGAACAGTTCTGCAATGTTTACTTTAGCTGTCTACTTTAGGAGAAAAAAGTAGAACAAACTTTAAAAAGTGTGTGTGTGTGTGTGTGTGTGAGAGAGAGAGAGAGAGAGAGAGAGAGAGAGAGAGAGAGTGTTTGTCCTAGTATTCACTACATTATGGGGACCAACTTAAAAAATTTACCCCCAAGATCAAAATTTTATATATATATTGACCTTTGGGGACATTTTTGGAGTCTGCTTGAGGAAGCTTTAGATTATAAACAATATATTATTTTATATTAGATTATTTTTAAATTATAAAAAATGTACAGTGTGCGCACTGCAAAGAAAATAAAAGAAATATTAATTCTTAAACATTAAGTCTGTGTCGTTCCCTCAGTGAATGTGAATGCATAAAGAAACGAACGTCCACGATTAGCCTAATGCATTGAACAATACCTGTGAGCATCCGACCGGACACTGCATGTCCTCGGTGAAAGACATCGCGCACTGTAGCACTGGAGAGTCTACAAGAAATGGCGTGGGAAAACACACTGAGGGCGGGCGAATCTGGCTAGTCGTCTCTCTTTCGTTGTCTGCACTCATTAGATCTCGTCCCAGAGTTTTGAGAGCTGAAGTAGAGCGTGACTTTAGACAATACCATCCTGCGTAGGCAATAGCGAAACTGACAAAGATGAACGGAATGACAGAGAGAAAACAACTCGGGTCCAGTCCTCTGGCGAGGAAACGGCGATGGATTCATGTTTTAATGTAGTGAATGTTCACGCGTGGACGTTTATTACTGTTTATTTGGTTTATTACGAGCGCATGCTGAACGGAGCGGGCGCGAGAGGTTGAATGCAGCCGCGCAACGCGAACTGTCTACCGCTTCTGTAAGTATAGGCTACACACTACTCGTAAACAGATTTTTAGCTGTAGATTTTTTTTTGTATGCCACAATACTGTATTCAGAAATGTATTTGCACTTTTTAAGATGATTCTATGTCATGTAGGCTTTTTAAATGAGAGAAGTTTGCAGTTCTCTTTCATCTTCTCGATGTTTCAGAGAACCGGGCTTACGACAGTAACCTACTGTTTTCGTTCGAACGTGTATTTGTACATTTGAGTTCCATATAGCCTACTTTCACATTGTCATTGTAATTTCATATTTGGGTAATCGATTTATGCAGCGTTTCAGTTAGGTTGTGGACCTGCAGTCTGTTTGAACAACTTTCTTCCTTATACATTAAATCAGTCGAGAATGAAAATAACTGCATTTAAAAATAGGTATCCTACCACCATGAACATGTTCAAAGGAAATGTCACATGCCACTTGTCGAAAATGTAGATTTAAATGATTAGACACATCAAAGAGAACATATTCAGCGGTATGCAGCCTATGTCTTATTATACATACAGTAGGGCATTGTCTCAGTAGAGGGTAGAGGGCTTGTCTCTACATCTGTCCTAGACAGCACACTACCACCATTAGCCATTACATACTGACATTAATCACCCAGTTTATGTTTGCATCCTATTTGTGCTCTGCTTTTTATGGAAAAATTGCATTCTGCAAATCTGGCTGCTGAAAAGAACACCGACTGTATATTGGATCTGTGAATACTGATTCAATATAGAATAAATCATTTTCAAACCATCTATCTGTAAATAATAACTGGGAAATGGATTGCGTTGTTTATGGATCTTATGCAGGTTATATTTTATCGAGCCTTTTTGCAGAGATTAGAGTACAACCTGAATTTGGTGTCTAACACAAGAGTTGAGGATGACTGGCCAGATGCTGGCAGATTGTACTTGGCAAGAGTGCATATATAGGTTTAGTATTCTACCCTGGTTTTAGACAGACCATCGGATCAGTTGACTGGGTGCAGAAAAAGATAGAAGTAAAATTTGGAAAAAGAAGAACAATACGTCAGACCATGCATCCATTATGACGATATAATAATCTCAATCAGCAAATTTTTTTCCCTTTTTTACACCTCTTTATTAACGGTTTATTTGTTCCTCATGTGACAGCACTTCTTTTGTTTCTCTGCATACTACCCATCAAAATGTGCCCTTATTCTGTCTCCATTTGTTAATTTTTCTTTTGGCAAAGATCTGTCACACACAAACCTTCTGTTTGGATTGAAAAAGCTTTTCTTCTTCTTGTTTTTTTTCTTTCTTGGCAGGTTTACTTAAGTGTGTTTAAAGGCTTTGCTGATTTAAAATTCTCCTCCTCAGTGGATTGCCTTTGCTGGCGTAGGCGTTTGTTTCTCTCAGTGGTATTGGGCACAGGCCAAGTATGAAGGACTAAGAGAGAGCAGGTGAAATTATTTATATCATATAATTTGTGATGGTGTACCGTAGTCTAATGGTTAAGGATCTCATCTTCAAAACAGAAAGTTTGCAGATTAAATCCCATGGTGTGACAGGAGAGGTACATGAGATTAATTCTTCTCCTTTACCTTGTGCCCTTGAACAAGGCACTCAACATCAGGTAGCTACTCGGGTGCTTTTTCTAAAATAATTTGTATACTTGATGCAAAAGAGTTGAAATGAAACAACAAAGAATTTGCATATTTGTGGTGATGCCATTGCACTGGCTCTCCTCCTTGTAGTTTTTGCCAGCACAAAGCTGGAATTGTGCACCTGACTCCCACACTTTAAGCCTTACTAAGCATGAATGTGTTTGTATCTGCTTGTAGCATGTGTGTGTAGGCAGCTTATCAAATGCTCTTCAGTGTCTAAATCTATGATTGCATGAAAGGGAGAACATTTTAAGCAGAAGATGATATATACGAATGGAGACATTGTCTTGTGAAGTTCCCCTATACTGTAGCATATTTAACTATATCCTAACCACATTGATTCCTTAATCTTATTGTTCAAAAAGCTGAAACAAGTACAGGTGACAACATGTTTTGCATAAATTATATCTGAGCTATTAGATATCTGCTCAGAGGCACAATGGTCATCTATAGGGTTTAAACATGCAATGTGGTTACTAGTTCAGATCTCTCACACTAGGTTACACCACACCCATGCTGCTAGGAAGCTTAACTTTATTGCCACTTTCTCCTAGCTAGAAAATTTGACTGAATTAATTTTCTGCATGGCTAACTGTATAACTAGAATTTCAAACAATTTAGAAGAGTTATAAACTTGGATGTTGCCTTAGCAAGTACAGCTACTTTATCTTGTTCAGAAGCTGAACCATGGACTAAACCTGCAACCCAAATCCATAAAAGAATTGCTTATCCAAAAATGACAATTAATAATTTATCCTCATGTTGTTTTAAACCTGTATCACTTTCTTTATTGAGTAGAAGAAAAACGTGCTGGCCACTGTTTTGCACGCAATTATAATGAACAGGGATTGAAGCTTTAAAGCTTAAAAATGACATAAAAGCACTTTTGTTGTGTAAAACAACAGTAAATTTTTATAGCGGTATTCATTCTTGTTAATGTTATTGATATTGTTTTACATGTAGTTTTTTTTTTTTTTACTTGAAGCCTGGGGGTGTGGGGGAGGGGGGGGATAATAATAAAAACTAAGCATAAAGACCCGTCCCTAACCTCACCCCTCAACATAAACGTCACTGGGGCGTGAGCAGGCCACACACAACAAAAACAAAACATACTAATGAGGATTTAATATGATTTAGCCTCGAATTTGCCATGATATTGTTTTTGTTTAATGTTCCTTTAAGCATAAATTAGTTACGAGTTGCTGTGATATTGTGTTGGTTAGTGCTCCTTTTGGTGAAGCTGGTATACTTTGCTTATTTCAAAAGCAATTTCTTGGTGCATTAAATACACTGTATCTCATTGACAGATAATTCTAACCTAACCAAACTTCCCTCAATACCATAATGGCAATCCATCATCTAAAGTATTTTTGCCCCAAGCCCTGGTTAATTTCTGACCTTTGTGACAATAAAGATAACACACTATACATATATGCTAGCATATGGCAGTTAGAATAATAGCATCAGTAAAACCCCTGTTTTCCTCTGTATCAATTAAAACCACTGTTATTACTCCTTTCAATAGTAAAAAGAGACTTTGACCCCAGGCAGGTATACCTAGCATATGGTATACGCAGGTGTACGTAACCTTTCGCCCTTTTTTATTTAACACTGTTAGATGAAATTTGTCTTTCTCGTCTAGGCGATTAGAGCTGTGTCTTTCTGTATCTTAGAAAGGTTTTGTTTACAAGCCACTATTTAGCAATAATTATACAAAGAAATATGACAAAATAATCATTTTGAAAAATGAGCCTGTCAAGATACTGTAGAAGTATCATAAAGGTTATTCATGTCACTTCAGAGCTATATTTCACGATACATTGATGTTTAAGCTGTTATTTTCTGAAAATATTGACATCCAGAATGTTTAGAAATCATCATTTGTTCCACATTAGAGTCCTACAGGTTTGGAACATGAGGGAGTAAATAAGGACAATTTATTTATTTAATTTTCCTGATTAAGCTATTCTTTTACATGTGTAATTATTTGAAAATAAAATGTTCAGTTTGACTATCAGATGCCCCTCAGAGATGCAATGTAGTCTTCCTAGTTGAGCTAAAACTTTCCTGCTTTTTTTTTTAAGCTTTGAAGCCCTTTGAAATTTCTGGCTAAATATGTTTCAGAACTCAATGAAATTTTAGTCAAATATTCCCTCACTTATTTTTCCTTATGGAAAGCTACATTTAACTTACCTTCCCCAAATTGAGAATCTAAATTAAGCCTCTGAAAATAAAATTATAACATTCTTCAAAATATTATCATTGATAGTTGTCTGCGGCCTTAAATCTTCTCTGTGGTTTGTTGTTTTGTGTATAATGATGGTCAGGTCCCCTGCAGTGTGAAAGCAGATAGCAGTGTCTGGCAGTCAGTTCTAAGAAATAGCAGCAATTAAAAACTAGAACTGACCCAGAACTGCAGGCATCCCATTCCTACTGCGAACCAGCACCTGCATACAGTACACACACTATGTGTACATAAATGTGGTAGTTGGAGATTGCAACTGTACTGACTGTAATTTGACCTCTGTTATTTATACTGTTGTGAATTAGTGAGAGCTATTGTGCTTGTTATCTCAGAGACATTACTGGGATGAGCAGAGGACAGGTTATTTATGCGAAATCTCTTGGTGCATCAAGGTCAGCGAAAACTGGTTTTTATACATGCTAGTACAGAGTATTAGTCTCTATAAAACATCCACCGATGAAGTGCTTAGAACATAAATATTCTTGAACAAAAAAAATAAAAGGTATTGACACTGGTATTCTGAGGATGCTTGGATGGCTCACTGTTATAAGGATGGCCAGTTTACTCTGCTCTGTGTATTACAGTGTTCTTCTTTAACTCTGCTTTGAATAAACTGTGAACATGAGCAATTTGCCCACATACTGTAAGAGCAATTTTCAGCACACCAAATTGATTCCTTCATTGTGTGAAGCAGATTTCTCTGAGAATGAAAGGGGTTTGATTTGACAGAAAATCCATGTAAAGTATAGAGAGAAAAACATCAGTCAACTCTGGACTTTGACAAAATCCCACAAGATTTAAATCTGCAGACATTAAGGCTCACAAGGAGCAAAAGGAAGTGGGTATATATACTTTTTAAATGATCCTTTATTTAAAATGGACTCTGCATCATTCGCAACAAGGCAGAGAGAGTCTCTTTGAAGCAGAATCAAGCAGAAGGTTCAAATAGGATGAAACTGCTGAACTGAATGTTAACAGTGAGAGAAGAGAATGAGTAGATATTTGAGAATCACTGATGAATTTATTTCATAATTCAAAATGAATGAAACATAATTGGTCAGTCTAAACTTTTAATATGGATGTCCCTTTAACCTGTTTTTACTGTAGATGTTAACTGTTTTTGTTGTCTCTGGATCTGTCACGCTCTCTCCTCTCTCTGAGCTTCTTTCTATAATCTATAGGGAGTATAGAGTATAAATAGTCCCAATTATTTTTTATCAGCATGCCCATATTTTTATTGTGGGAACAAAATATAATTAAATTAAAAGGTTGTGTTCTGATCCGTATGAATTCAGTAATAGTTGTTTTATATGAAGTTATCAGTAACAAAATGGGTCAATGGCACTGTTCCTTCTAAGCCCAATTCACACACAGAAAAGTATATTTCTGCATTTTAATTACAGAAAGAACATTAGGCTCAAGAAAAATCCTTAATATTTTTCATTTAACATGGTTATCAAAAGTTTTTATTGATTTTTTCTTTTTATTTTGTTCTACTGCATCTATCTTTGTGAGCACAAAAATTAAGCATTTGCTGTATTAATCTCTTAAAGGCATAATTAACTTCTGGAAAGATGGGGTTTTAATATAGGTTGGCTGTCTATGCAGTAGAAATGTGATTAATTTTATTTTTTTTAAATGGTGCTACACAACTAGAGACAACAGAGGAAAAGAGAAGTGGTAAAAAAAAGAAGAGGTAGGAAAACTTCAACACCCATAGTGCACCGGGCTCGATCAGACACAGATACAGAAAAGTTACAGTATGACTAGTTTTCACAAAAGCCCTGCAGCTGTCAAAATTCTGCCAGAAGATGATGCATTTTGCTGGCAAATAAACGGCGATATCTTGGTGCAAGTAACACAGAAAAATAATACAAATTGTTCATTTACTTTTACCACTCACATTGTAACAATATAAAGCTGGTTGAAAATCAGTGTACTTAACCTTTAAATGTACAGTTCTTGACTGCTTAACTCAGTTCTGTGTCAAGAGATACTAGTGTCAGATTGGCTTTTCAAACCTGTGCAAAAAACTTTCACACCCAAACAGTATGTGCTAGTTAGGTATGTTTTGAAGCATGGCAGCTGGTTTAAGCTGGTCCTGTGCTGGTTATGAGCTGGTCCTAAGCAGGACCTAGTTGCTTAGGCCCAGCACATGACCAGCTTAAACCAGCTCATCATGACCAACTAAGGACCAACTTAAACCAGCTGCCATGCTTCAAAACATACCTAGCCAGCATATGCTTTTTTCTTTTTTTTTTTGCAGGGCAGTGACTGTCAGAGTAGTGACACCTGATCACAAATATCTCTGAAGCTGAACATTCAAATCACTCCAAATAAAAAGTAAAAAATGAAATGAACAAATATGTACAATTGCTGTACTAGGGTCTCTTGTAGGTTGCCAAGTTTTACAGTGTACATATTAAGCGTCACCCATTTCTGTCTCCCTCCAGGGTGAGTGTTGTGGAACAGGGTGATGGGAGTCCAGGACTCTCTGTTGCCGGGCTTACGGCATGTCACAAAACAGTTGGCTCAACTTCTGCTGCTGGTCCTACTGCTCTGGATGCTGTTTTTCCTCGTTGTCTTTACCTACTTCACTGACTCCCAGGTGAACCAGCCCCATAAAATGTTCAAAACGTTCAACTCTGAATCTGAACACTCAACCTATGTTCAGCATAGTTCCCGGGCCATCATGGCATCCCATAATTCCCACTGGCGTCTGTATGCAGACAGGAAGGGTCCTTTCCAGCACAGGCAAGTGTTTCAACCTCCTCGCACTAGAGAAGAGTTTTATTTCAGGAATTTTGGCGAACGTCATCCAAGAGCTAGGAAGTACTTGAGGAAGCCTCCTAGAAGTGGGTACAGTGATGACTATTTTTCCAATGACTGGTCGGTGGTTCGTGGTCTGTGGAAGGGTCAGGTGTCCTCCAAAATGCTAAACCATCGACTCCAGCAAGCCTTGAAGGACCATGTTCACTCTAATAAGCACAATGTTCTCTACAAAGGCCAACGAAAGGCAAACAAGAGTGTAGAGGAGATGCTGTGTCAGATGAAACGGCAAGCCCAACTCAGGACCCTGGATGGCTCTGAACAGCCCTTTGTTCACCTAGGTTTTAAACAGCTGGCTTCTTCTAAATTGCAGAAGATGTACACAACATGTGCCGTGGTGACTTCAGCAGGGGCAATATTGAACTCATCACTGGGACGTGAAATTGGTGAGTTGGACAGGGATACTATGCATATACAGGTGCATCTCAATAAATTAGAATGTCGTGGAAAAGTTTCAACTCAAATTGTGAAACTCGTGTATTAAATAAATTCAATGCACACAGACTGAAGTAGTTTAAGTCTTTGGTTTTTTTAATTGTGATGATTTTGGCTCACATTTAACAAAAACCCACCAATTCACTCACCAATTCATCTCAACAAATTAGAATATGGTGACATGCCAATCAGCTAATCAACTCAAAACACCTGCAAAGGTTTCCTGAGCCTTCAAAATGGTCTCTCAGTTTGGTTCACTAGACTACACAATCATGGGTAAGACTGCTGATCTGACAGTTGTCCAGAAGACAATCATTGACACCCTTCACAAGGAGGGTAAGCCACAAACATTCATTGTCAAAGAAGCTGGAAAAAGTTGGGCTTCCATGCCACCTCAGCAGTGCCACAAACTGATCACCTCCATGCCACACCGAATTGAGTCAGTAATTAAAGCAAAAGGAGCCCCTTTTTACAGTAAATTAACATACTTTCCAGAAGGCCAACAATTCACTAAAAATGTTTTTTTTTGTTGGTCTTATGAAGTATTCTAAATTGTTGAGATAGTGAATTGGTGGGTTTTTGTTAAATGTGAGCCAAAATCATCACAATTAAAATAACCAACGACTTAAACTACTTCAGTCTGTGTGCATTGAATTTATTTAATACACGAGTTTCACAATTTGAGTTGAATTAGTGAAATAAATGAACTTTTCCATGACATTCTAATTTATACTAGTGGTCAAAAGTTTTGAATAAAAATTGTTTAAAGAAGTCTTATGCTCACCAAGGCTGCTTTTATTTGATTAAAAACAGTAATACTGTGAAATATTATTACAATATAAGCTAAATGTTTTCTATTGTAATATATGTTAAAATGTAACTTAGTAACTGTAATGACAAAGTTTTTAAGCAGCTATTTCTCCAGTCTTCAGTCTCACATGATCCTTCAGAAATCATTCTAATATGCTGATTTGGTGCTAAAGAAACATTTCTTACTGTTAGCAGCATAGTTGAAAACAGTAAAAAGGTTTTTCATGTGTAATTTGGTTGTGGAAATGGTGATACACTACCATTCAAACATTTGTGTTAAGTAAGAAAAAAAATACTGCTATTCAGCAAGGATGCATTAAATTGATAAAAAATTATAGTATTGGTCATAAATTGATAATAACAGAGCACCAAATCAGCAAATTAGACTGATTCCTGAAGGAACATGTCATTCTACCTGACCCACATCGATTCATTGATACATTACATGAATAAAGACAGCAATTTTTATTTTATTTTTCATTACATATGCTATTACAATCATGGAATGTATTTATTAAATATATTATTTAAAGTTAAAATATTTCTTTAGTTTTTAGAAGTTGAATTTAAAATCTTAGCTCAAAAAATCTGTCCATAATGTGTCCAATTACCCAAAATAGTTTGTCTAAAATTGTGTTCGTCTCGGACTTTTTAGTATCCAAACAGGCACTTTCTTGTCTTGTTTTGAGGGTTGCGCTCTCTTTCTCACTCTCTTACTTTGACTTTCATTCCCTCATTCCATTTCTTCCACTCAATTCATCACCACTCTTTTCCCCCCCTCGTTAGACCTTGATTTGGTCTGCTTTTGAATAGAGACATTGATGCACAAGGCCTAATTGTTGAATGTGTTGGAACATGAATACCACAGCTGAAAGCCAATGGCAGATAAGCATCAGAGCAGTTCTCCCTGTTCTCTAGAACCCCTTGAATAGCATTGCCCTGCTTCATTGTCAGAAAGAACGAAAGCAATGTTGCTGGAAGCCTCACTGTGTCTTTGCATGTTTTTTGTTTATTTATGGGAGTCTTAAAGGACCTTTTATTAGAAAAGTTTTGGAAACTGGACATTGAAACTTATGTCTTACAATTACAGCAGTAGTTTTTGTAGTGAACTCAAAGTATTGTACATTTATTTATTAAAAAGTCATATTTCTTTATTGAAATGTTTATTTGAATATACTCACATTTTTATTTCTCACAAATGAAGCAAAGTTTGGGAAGTGAGTCTAGATAAAATGGTTACTGTTACTAGATGTTAGTGAATTGTCTTTTGCTACCTTCTAGTGGTGATTGAATGTTTTGCATGTAAAAAGACATTGATGGAAGAAGATCATCATAATGCACCGTGGAGAGATTCTTTGATTATTCAGGTCAAAGAATAAGGAATTACTTAGTTTACTATAGGGATATTTCAGAGGTAAAAAATCCAATATACCTTCACATTAACCTCCTGTCCATTAGGAGTTTAATATGGTAGCATTTGCCTTACAACACTAGAGGGAGCAATATCTATAATATTAGCTTGGCCATAACACTTTTTGCAGACTGATTCATTTAATTAAGTTCTTTTTTAATAATAATAATAATTTCCAAATCAATAGGAAAAACAACAATAACTGAATACTTATGGTTTTGTGTAAAATGTCTAATGACAGAAGTGCCTGTTTTCTGTGTTTACTTAATGTTGGTGTTAAACACCTGCACTGAAAAAAAGGTGTATGATACACTTTTACAATGCACACTCAGAAATCACTTGAACTTTCACTATAAATACAAACAAAAGACAAGTAACACGTTGAACTGAACATGAAAATGTAATGTAGACAGACTGAAGTAGTATTTATTTTGCTTTATTTATAAGCTCAAATTTTTTTTTACAGTGCAGTTCAAAAACCTCTTAATAGAATAATGTTTGCGAAAATTATTAATATCATGTTAAATACATTAAAGGGCACCTATTATGCCCCTTTTTACAAGATGTATTATAAATCTCAGGTGTCCCCAGATGTGTTTGTGAAGTTTCAGCTCAAAATACTCCACAGATCATTTATTATATCATTTTGAAAATGCCTATTTTGAGTGGAAGCAGAAACAGGCTGTTTTAGTCCATTTCTCTTTAAATGCAAATGAGCTGCTGCTCCCTGCCCTCTTTCCAAGAACAGGGCTGTGCAATTTTAGCTCCTATCTCAGATCTCTGCCAAAAAACATCTGTTTGGTTTTGATTACCATGTATATCGCTCTGAAATCACGCGTTTTAAAGCCATATCAGTTTAAATGTCTGATATACGTTTTTCTGGACGCACACACGCAAACAGAGAGCGACTGTCACACGCATGCCTGTACTAAAAGTTCTCTTTCACACACAAGTTTATGTTAAAAACACACTTAAAAAACACAGTCGCTTATGTCTGTGAAGTTAAACAGTTGGGAAAGAAATCGAATGTCTATATTAGAGCGGTGTATTAAGTGACAGCAGCATAATATACAGTATATACTAACCGCTGTTTGGGCCTACGCTGTTAATATGACCCAAAAACAATAAAATAAAAGCAGAAAATCACTCTCTGCTCTGGATAGAACAACTTCTATAGCTCTAATAAGAAGACATTTCTTACTTGAATGCTGCTTTAAACATAGATAAACATGGCAGATAGTGTGTGTGCGGCTCACTCAGGGTAGGGTCATGGCTAATATGGCTGTGTCAGTCAACTATCGTGGGTGGGGCGGGTCACACTTTACGGATTTTGTGATCAGTAAGCTCTGAGACGCTGCTCATGATTTATAGAGATTAAAAAAAGGAGCGGGTGGATTTTTATCATTATAGGGTGGTTGTGTGCACACACTGCCAACACACATTTATGTTCAAACAGCATGTAAAAGTGAATTTTGCATAATAGCTACCCTTTAATTCCAGAGTCAATTATATAATGTATGTAGATTTCTCAGAATCAGGACAAGGTATTTTTAAGTCAGGGCACAACAAATTAAGCTGTTTTTTTTTTTTTTTTTAAATTCGGGCAAGTTGATGTGTAAATTCATGTCATTTATTAAAATATTTCTTAGTCAAAACAATGATTTGACAATTTTGTATGTTTTATAATTATTTTACAGTTTACATTTTTTTTACCTAAAAAAGCATACTCTTCTGTATAATCAGAGTTTAACTATGACAACGTAAAAGAATATTCAAGCATGTTGTCACAAAAGGTCAACATGTGTTCTCCCTTTAAAACTTGACCGGTCTTTTGATTGACTGCTGTTTTTGCCATTCTAGATTCCCATGATGCAGTACTGCGTTTCAATGCTGCACCCTACAAGGGCTACGAAAAGGACGTGGGCAGCAAGACAACCATTCGAATCATGAACTCTCAGGTTAGAGTAATTTGCGTTAATGTACCCAGACACAAACCTTCACTCTCTGACTCATTCCCTGTCTCCGTGTGCAAGGACTAAATAGAGATGTTTTCTTCTCTTTTATTAGATTCTAGCAAACCCCAAACACAACTTCAGCAGCAGTTTGCTTTATAAGGACATCACCTTGGTAGCCTGGGATCCTGCTCCTTATAACATTGACCTGCATAAGGTATCACATCATAGACAATCTGTCAGAAGTCTCATACCATTCAGCCCTGTTAAACTTTGCTTGTGCAGTTTTCTTGTAGGGGGCTTAATCTAAGACCTGTCTGTGAAACCAGGCCTAAGTGTCAGGACTTTATATTCAACCTAATATTTTGTTTTCTCAATGCCCACAGTGGTACCAGCAACCCGATTATGACCTGTTTACTCCATACATAAATCACAGGAAGAATTTCCCTCAGCAGCCCTTTTATATCCTGCATCCTTCATTCATCTGGAAACTCTGGGATATTGTGCAAAGCAACACAATGGAGAACATTCAACCCAACCCTCCTTCCTCAGGATTTATAGGTGAGCCTCTTCATCGTTAACACAAGCACATATTAACGCACAATTTGGCCACTTTTTGATCCTTACGACTAGGAAAATTGTTGTGCCACATGTTGTGACAGTCATTTCTGAGAGATTTGCCATGCTGTGCAACTGACGCACATATTCGACCCTAATTTAAGCAAGATCAAATGTTCTTCTGCCTACTTTTCCAGGGTATCTGCTGACTTCCAAATGATAATCATGTCTGTTTGTATTCACTGTTCCTCTTGAATAAATTTTTAACTGAAGAGCGTAGGATGTGTGCGTGTGTGTGTGCAAATTCTGAAATGTGTCACTAGGTAATAGCAATTTGATAGGTGCTAGTTCGGGGGCATGACAGGATTATTTCAATCAGGAAGGCAAACTCTCTGTAACATCTCTAGAGGATACTTACTTACCTTGCCGCAGGCCAGTAAATGACTGGCTAACTGAGGGCCTATAGCAGCATAGAGCCAATGAATGTGCGTACAAATACACACATGCACACTCTTTCTTATCTCCTTTGCCTTGTGAGTGCATTGCTGAATTTGAATGAAAATGAAGGTTTGGCTTAAAACTCAAGATCTAAAAGAGACAAACAAGTAACTGAACAAATGTTGCAGACTTTTTTTTTTTTTTTGCATGACTGACATATAATCCGAAGGTCTGTGTGAATCAAGTTGATGGCTCTCAAACAGACAATCAAATGTCCTAAACCTACCAAACATCATATGTGCTATCAAAGGCGCAATCCAGTATCTGCTACTAAGAGAGCACTACTTTTTTTGTCATTCATTGTTTTGAGTGAGTGATTGTGGATTGTACCTTTAACACACCATTTTGGCTTTGGCCTAAAGGAATTGTTCTACCAAACTATCATCATTTATTCCACCCTCATGTTGTTCCAAAACCATCACTTATTTGCTGCTTTGGATAAGAAAATGAGATAGGATGCTTCACAATAGAGTGCTGCAGTGATGACGTATTTTTGTGGGCCAACATTTATTATTTTATTATTAATAAACGAGTAGAAAACGAGTAGGATCTGTCCATTTGCTTTTGGATTATTGCAAAAAATAAACTCAACAAAAGATTGTTTCTTACATGGTTTTTTTCATCATGATAATCTTCACAAATAAACACAACTACAGTATTATTAATTTTGAAGCCTAAACGCAATTGCCAGAAGTAAAAAGTTAAACGTAGAAAAAGAACAAACTACATCACAGTTGAATGATTTCAACGTCACCACCAGTAAGCTTCGAACAATTCCTTCAGTCTTCATGTAGTAAAAAATTATGTTTGCAAGTGAGTCATTATAAACACGATGAGGCTGTTAAAGCAGGCTAGTGAGTAGATGAGATTAACTCTTTGGTGTGATAGGGTTTAATGTCCCTGACAACCTCTGTAGTCCCTTTTATTCACTTCTTAGCAACCACCTTTTTCAAAAAAGAGCTGATGTACAAACTGATGTATCGTACATCCTTCCTAGTTCAGTCCATCTAAAGGCTTCTATGCTAGACTGATCCTTATCATTAAATACTGATTAAATACTATTAAAAATAAATTTGGAAAATTGTTTTATATTAAAAATCTTTATCATTATATGATGTTATGGGTGATCATAGGAGGACACAAAGGATACACTTGATTTATCCTTCGAAACACGCTGCATCATGGGCATGAAACAAAAGCTGCCTTCCAAGGATCCTTCAAATTGAGATGGCCTTCAAAGGCGCTTGAAGATGTGGCAGCCAAAATATGCAGCTTTACTAGGACTTAGCCTTCTGATTGAGACGCCTCCAATGAGCATTTGTTTTGGTGAATTCAATACAGTGACAGTACATCGCCACCTACTGGACTGGAGTGTGACATTCTGGATGGTGCACAGGAAAACAATGGTGTCTGCCATGATATTACTGTACAGTTGCTTAAAGGCACAATATGTAATTTTCGCCGCTGGAGGGCACGTATTTAAAATAAACAAATAGACAAAGGCGTAGTTTGATGACGCCGTGACTTGAGTGTGGAATCATGGGAGTTGTCGTCTTCATCCCCACAGCCGATGCAATCCGACGGGACTCGGGCAGAAATCATGTTCATGGATGAGCTAATGATTTATTAACATAGTAGAATGAAGCAGGGTAAGGCTGAAAGCCGTCGAAGCGAAACGAGGCCGCTGAACGAGCGTGACACACGGCTCAAAAGCAGCAGAGCTTTTATTATGCCATAGTCAACCGCTTCCGCTCCTTCCAGTCGTGCATATGTGGGAAAAAAGCAGCGCTGTTTTATCATACTAGATACATTTGAAAGTTCTGTTATAATGCTACTCTGTGCGGCCGTCACCGGTCTATTAAAACACACAACATATCAAAGCGTCTTTGCTGTTTCCATGTTTTCTACAAAACAAAACCGGAAATCGAGGGGTTATGACGTCATTGGCATGCGACACAATGACACTATGGACACGGTCCGTGTCACTAGTTAAAATTGCTTATTTCTCTGGATTTAAACATTCTTCGAAACATTTGGGATAATGTAAGTACACAAGTCAGCAAAATATATAACACTGTTCTAGTGGTTTTTGGATATTTTAATAAACAAATCTTACATATTGTGCCTTTAAGTGTTTTACACCAAAACTTGGAAATTATTTATACTATTTAATACTGCCATTGTACTGAATTCACCCAACCAGATAGGACACTTAAATTAGTTAAGAGTTTGGAATGACATGAGGGTGAGTAATTGACAGAATTTCCAAGTTTGGAAATACTGTCTTAGATCACTGGACTCATTTGAAGCAATGATGTGACTAATATTCCAAATGTCACCATGCTTGATCTCCAGCAGATAATGGTGAGATTAGGGGAAGGGTAGAAAAAGAGTACAAAGCAGTCATGTGTTGGGGATTTTACCCGATTTCCAGCTTCCTTTAAATTCACAGATTTATTCAACCTCTTATTCAGACCTGGCCTTAAATGGGTTGGGAACATTCAGACAACATGGGGGTAAGCACATTCAGAAGTACTGCACCAGCACATGATCTAAACATCCATTTGGACAAATCACCAGTGGCTGTTTGCACTTTTCTCGCTCTTTGTAACATCACAAGTCACACAAATACAAATACTTGGTGTGTGTTAGGTCAGACAACAGTTTGTCATCACAAAGACGACTATAGAGATCACTTCGCTATAGTTCTGTTTTTCAGCTTTTGATTGGTAGGCACTCGACAACACTACACAGATGATTTCTGTCTTGGCATCATTTGGGACAATATGTAGGTTTAGAATGGGGTTGGAACATCAAGGTGTGATTTTGTGTGGATTGGTCTAGCTTGAGACAGGGGTGCTGCACTCATTTTGGAGACCAATGGATGGAGGTGCATTGCCAGCCACTGTGTTGCTATAAGCCCTTCGGTTGAGCTGGATGCCTGTAGTTCTTGAAGGCATAGAGGACTGTCCATTCTCTAGAGAGCTGCGTTTGCAATGAAACAGGATGAGGAAACACCTGTAAAACTGGTCAAAACACAATAAATTAGCACTCGTACACAAAAGATACAAAGCCATTTAATTTTTGTACATTTGTGTGAAAGATTGCCTAGCTTATTTTGAATCGCAAAACCTCAGTGCATTTTGTATTCTTCTTTTGGAGTTATTATTTTTCTTTTTTTATGGCCAATTGAAGTGGCAGTATCTCAATGGCATGTAAGATAAATATAGTAAAAATCTAGTTTAAACACATGTGCCAAGTTTTTAGCAATGTACTTTTCATATTCATTTTAGTTTCATATGGTTTTTAAAAACTTCATTTTAAAAAGAAATGTTTTAATTTAATTACTCATAAAATGTGGTGTAACCATCAATTAATTTATTTACACTTAATAAATGTAAGTGTACACATCTTTATTATTTTCATAAAATAATTTTAAATATAGTTTACATGGATTATTAATTTATTAATTTATATTTTGGATTATTAATTCTTATATTCTTATAATTCTTATAATTATAATTAATTAATAACATAAATATTAATTCGTTTTTTTGGAGTCACACCACGATTCCTGATTTTACAACCTGAACTAACCTTCTTTCATCATAAAAGGTCAAATTATCTGAAAATTTAAGAGACTTATTTACCTTGACCAGCAGTCTTGAGGGTCTGCATGTGTCTTCTCTATGATATAATTTCCTATTTAATTTTATTTTAATTTTCTGTGTTGGTTGTAGCAAATTTTAATTATGCCAAACTGGTTAAAGATTAACTTAAAAATGAATTCTAATCCAGAAAGGAGAAACATTCAAGTTATTATATTTATGAAGTGCATTTCTTTTTATGTATTTTTTGAATAATTAATACATACACTCTAAAAAATGCTGGGTTATTTCAACCCAACTTTGGGTCAAATTTGGACTAACCCAACTTTTGGGTTAAAAATGTAATGTAAAAATTTAACCCAACAGTTGGGTTAGTCCATATTTGACCCAAAGTTGGGTTGAAACAACCCAGCATTTTTTAGAGTGTTGGACAAAAATTGGAGTCATGTCATTGACCCAGCAATTACCAACTGGAATGTTTTGATTGACTTGTTTCTTCATTCTGATGAGATGTCAGATGCTAGGTCACTTGTCAAGAAGTGAGGTGCAGAAATAGCTGTTTACATTCAAACCTATGTGTGTGTCATGTGGTCATCTCTTCACAGCTTCTGTAGTATGCCTAAGGATGCCAATTAAATTCAATCCAGTCCACACAAAAGTCGTGGCACGTCCTGAACTACAGTGAACAACATGTGATGCACACCCTGCTGGTTCTCAAATGATAGCTGCTGGGGTGATGTTAGTCAATACACTTGGATCACTTTGTTGCCTTGACAACCTATAGATGTGGACACTGAACAAACAAACTGTCTTAGGTGATTGGCTATCCCAGGGGTATGAGACTCGATGTCTGATTGGCTTTGTCTTGGCCCATCCAGGCCTCTGATTGGCCTTCACATTGGCGTGCGACTATACTGCCGAGTATTTGATGCATGTGTCCCCTGCATGTGTGCGTGTATGCATTGAGACGATTCTGTGTCTGATCTTGGCAGGGTGCTGTCAGGCTGTGTGTGTTGCTAGCCTGTGGGCAGATGATAGAGTCTTGATGTAAAACAAAAATACAACAATTCAGAGAGGTGGCCAACAATAGACCACAGCACACACAGCTGACAGAATGTGTGCTGTGTACTAATGTCTTATCAGATTCAAACAAGATCTTGAGTTTGTTTCATTTACTCACCATCATGTCATTCCAGATCTGTATGTGAATGTACTGGTTCATTTTTTCATTTTTTTTTCACTGACTTACAATGAATGGTTTTTCAAGCCTTATAAATGTATATGTTATGTATGTATACACTACCAGATAAAAGTTTGCCATTATTCATATTTGTATTTCTATTATGCCTACCAAGGCTGCATTTATTTGATTAAAAATACAGTAAAATTATAATATTGTGAAATGTTATTACAATTTAAAATAACCTTTTCTATTTAAATATATTTGTAATTTGTCAAATGTAATTTATTCCTGTGATGGAAGTCTTCAGTGTCACATAAGCAGTCAAATTTACTGATTTGGTGCTCAGTTATTATCAGTTATCATTGGTGCCCTAGTTTTAATAATGGTTCTTTGTATTATCAATTTTGAAAATAGCCTTTGCTGCTTAATATTAATAAATGCGATACATTTTCCCTGGATCCTTTGATAAATAGAAAAGTTCAGAAAACAGCATTTATTTGAAATAGAAATAATTTGTAACATTGCAAAAGTCTTTACTGATACTTTTGATCAATTTAATGTGTCCATGCTGACTAAAAGTATTTTCCCCTTACCCAAAACCTTTAAACGGTAGTTGTATGTCAAGTTTCCACAAAAATATTAAACAGCAAAAACTGTTTCAACCATTAAATAAGAAATGTTTCTTAAGCACATATTAGAATGATTTCTAAAGCATCACGGTAGAATGAAGACTGGAATAAAGGCTGATGAAAATTCAATTTTGCAGCACACAAATAAATTACATTTTAAAATTATAGTCAAATTGAAAACAGTTATTTAAAATTGTATTGATATTTCACATTATTACTGTTTTTACTGTATTTTTAGTAGTGCTGTCAAACGATTAATCGCGATTAATCGCATACAAAATTAAATTTTATTTGCATAATATGTGTCATATTTGAGTATATTTATTATGTATATATAAATACACACACATACAGTATATATTTTGAAAATATTTACATGTATTTACATGTTTATGTTTATATTAATAACATTAAAATGTAATATATAAGCATAACATGTTTATATATTTATTAATTATATTATGTTTATATTCATAAAATTAACATTTAATATATAAACATAACATATTTTTCTGAAATATATACATGCATGTCTGTATATTTAAATAGACATAATAAATCTAAACAGCATACATACATATATTATGTAAATAAAAACTTTCATTTTGGATGCGATTAATCGTTTGACAGCACTAATTTTTTGCAAATAAATACAGCCTTGGTGAGTATAAGATATTTTTTTCAAAAACAATATCATAATTATTCCAAACTTTTGACTGATAGTGTACAGTGCAATAGATTGTGTGAGGAACAAACTGAAATGTAAATTGTTATTAGCTGATAATCTGATGAGATGCTAACAGCTTCTTGTGAGCAATTAAGTTTTTTAATCAAGTGTTTTCTCACTTGATGAATTCATGAATGAATCATTCAGACTGGGTTCACTGAAAAGTTCCAACTCAAAAGAACGATTCATTCACAAATCGGGCTACTTGTCTCATAACCTCTCATAAAATCTATGGCAGACAATAACAGTTTTGATAAATATTTCAATAGCGACTTTGGATCGGTTCCTCACACAAGACCATTGATTGACTTCAAAACACTTGTAATAGAGGCTGATCTCATGTGGGCTGCTCAGTACAGTCATTATTAATGAATATATCATCTATATCTGTGTGTGTGTGTGTGTGTGTGTTTATTTGACAGGTATAGTCATGATGATGAACTTTTGTGAGGAGGTCGATGTGTACGAGTACATTCCTTCTATGAGACAAAGTAATCTGTGCCATTACCATGAGAAGTATTACGACGCGGCCTGCACATTTGGGGCATACCACCCTCTGCTTTACGAGAAACTGCTTATCAAGCGAATGAGCACAGCTTCTGAGAAGGACCTCAAGAAAAAGGGAAAGGTCACACTGCCAGGATTCAGTAAGATCAACTGTCCACTGTGATTTACAGACTCAAACGTACAGCAGCGTAAAAAGATGTACGGGTCTTCAAGACTGTATGAACCCTTAACAGACTCTTATCATCTAATAGAGGTTTTACCCATAGTTCTTGTAACAAACTGAGACCAGACATTGCAATGAGGAGGGTAATTAACCACATCAAGTCTGATCATCTTAGGATGGTCCTTATGCTGAAAGACATTAGGCTACAGCAATGGTGACAGAAATGTCATTATGACCTTAAAATGACCTCAATTCAGAGATTACAGATGCTGTACATACAAAACATGATGTGATGCAGGACAAAAGGAGAGTTTCAAAGTAAACTCTTGATATACTTGGAAGAGCTATACTGAAATTAACAAATATCAGATTGTAAATATAAAGATCCACTTACACCATTTCCTGAGAGGAATCAAATTCTAGTTTGTGTTCTAAGTATAACACAGAAAAAACATAGGAAGAGAGGGTTGAATAACAAGTTTTTCATTTCCAAAATGTTGGAATTTTGTAGTCACTGTCATTTAAAGCTGCTCACATTTTAGGACAATTACCTTTTTAAAAAATGTTTAAATGTGGTAAGCTACAGTATGAAATGAGTTGAGATGGAAAGAGATTTCTCTTTTCTGTCTATCTGTGCCGATGTGGTCATTTTAAATAAATCTTTTGCAGTTTTCATTGGTTAGATGAAAATTCAAAGCTGTTAATATACCATAGAGTCAAGATCATTAGATTTTAACTGTAGAGAAATGATCAGTGTAAATTTTAAAGGTTTTTTATAAATGATTTATTTCATAATATGAATGTGAACTACTACTGACAAACCTCTGAGATAAGACAGTGTCTAACTTAGAACAGTTTAACACTGACCTATGGGCATATAATTTCTATTAACCTTTTTATATTTTTTGTGCTTTAGTAAAATGTTTAGTAAATGTATTTCAAAAACTTGTATTATATTTTGACACAAAATGGTGTCTCAAGGTGTACCAATACTTAACTGCTGTTATTGTTTAAAGAACTCACATTTTGAATGGAGTTTAGTATTTTTGATCTTTTCTTACAATCAGTTTTGTACTTGACATTGTTCTTTCTATAGGCTGGTAATTTGTTTCATCATAGTGGATGTTGGGTTAAGACAATGAAATCAAAAGAAATGTATTTGTGGAAGAAATGTGAACTTTTATGCACCCATGGTGGTTCAGTTAGTGCTCATTAAAAAGTTTGAAAAGTCTAACCTGTTTGTTCATTAGGATGTAAATCACAGGGTTGATGACTGTGCTGCTTTTGGCAAGGAGGGACGGCACCACGCTCGCAATGGGGGTGATGATTCCCGGACGTCCAAACGTGGCCATCATTGCAACAACCCCATAAGGCATCCAGCACAAAAGGTAACACACCACTGTAGTGATGACCATAAATAAAATGTGGTACTCTCTCCGCCGTGCTGCTGTCTTTCTAATACGCCCTACCTGAAGAGAAAAACATGTACATTAATTTGTATTTTTTGTTTGCACCAGCAGATGATTCAGAACTGGTCTTCAGTATACACAAATCCCTCATGAAAGGATTTATGATTCTCTATAGAAAGAACCTACCATCTGGTTTATAGGAACCACTGACTCATCAGGTTCAGGAATATAATTTATTGATATTTATAAAGATGTCCTAAAATCATGTGTGAAGTGATAAACTGCATTCCAAATATAATGCACCGCTTTTAACAAATTTCATATAGTGTCGTCTTTATTATGTATTATGTATGTTGAATCTAAAAACAGAATTGACTATTTAAATGTTCAGAAACTGCTATTTTTCATGAGGTCACATCCTTTTTTGTGACCTATTTCAAACAAGTGCATAATAGCGCTGACTTATCTAATTTTTCTGCATAGTATAGAGTGTGGATTCCAGATATCACCGGCTTAAACATCATTTGAGGCGGTTTAAACTTTATCTGGAGTCTGAGATATTGACCTAGTTTGAGCTTGAGTCAGAGAGTCATTGTTTAGTTCCAGAGAGGATTGGAAACGGCACTGCAGGCAGTGGTTTTGAGTTGTGAAATCGGACTTGTTTAAACTCATTTCCCTGTTATACACACATAATTAAAGTGTAACATTTACTTTGAATTGAGATGTTGTGACTCAATATACCTGTTTGACAGCACAGAGGAGTCTGCTGTAACAGTACACCATGACCAGCACTGGGATTCCCAAACAGAAAATGAACAGACAGATTATATAGGAATGTGACTGCGGGGTGTTGGCCGTCCATGTAACCGAACAGCTGGTTCCTGCCCCTTCCAGTCCATAGCTACTCCAGCCCAGCAAGGGGAGAACCGTCCAGAACAGTGAGTACAGCCAGGAGCCCCCGACAGCCAACAAGGGTTTGCTGTAGTCTGGGGCCCTCTTGTTGTAAACAGTTAAAGTGTTGTAACGATCATACGAAAGGATTGCCAGAGATATCAATGATACAATCCCTGTTTAAAAAAAAAAAAGAGAAGAAATTAGTGTATTTTCACGCTTGCCATTAAACTACAGAGCCACTTGTATCAACAACATTGTCACAATTATGTAAATGAACAGGAAAAAATGCAAATGAACCGGGGAGATTTCCATAATAATTCTAGGGTAAAGTGTCCAGAGAAAATGTATTGGTCTTAATTTAGCTCTTTGGTAATTTTAACATAGATGTCAACAGATTTTGCATACACAAAGCCAGCTACACTAAATGGGAGGTTATTCAAACAAAGGAATTATTATTTAGCACTTATTTTTCATTGTGTTATAAAAAATACTGTGATATATGATTATATGCAAGCAATAACAATTATTATTATAATAACATTTATTCATTCAGATATTTTCAAACATTTCAATGCTAAAGACCCCCAAATACAATGACACGCTATTGAGTGACTACAATATAAAGGCACCTATTAATTTTAATTCAGTGTTCACAATAAATGTTATTCCAAAACAATTTTTTAAGTTTTAGAGAAAATATTCAAAAATTTAAAAAAAAATCCCCTACAAATTACAGTGATGAGGAGAAACTTCCTAGAAAGATACAAAAAAAGACTAGATTTCTAAATTTTACAGTGCAAGAAAGGAAAGATGAATGTTTATAAGTAATATTTTTTATAAACATGTATGGCCTTTTTTCCTTAATGCTTGTCTTTATTTCTTAATGTTAAAAAACTAGAAAGTCAAATGAAACTGGGATGTCGATATAATAAATGCTACATTTATTTATATATTCATGCATTCATTCCTGGACCCTAAAGTGAAAACTCAATCCACATCAATTAACTCTTGTCTTGACCTTTGAAAGGATAATAATACATGTTAGTAAACCAGCACAAATCTGACAATACAAGTGATTTAGTTTAAATTTCTGTCAAAATTTATTTCCATACATTCATTGCCTGACAAAAACATAAATTGTCAATTTGAGGGAATAATTACAGGGAATAAAAATACAATCTGCCTTACTATTCACATTGATTAGTGAATAGTTAGTAAATAGAAACACAAGTACTTAATGTCAAAGCAATGTTATGATTTTCAAAACAAAACTTATAAATGACTCCCAGGTGCATAGCTATTTCAAGAAACACAGCATGAAGTGGGAGACCTACCACAACCACTTTTTTGATATTACATATTAATGAAAATGCCTTTAAGCGAGACTCATTCTCTGATGTTGTTCAAAGGGCAAATGTGGGAATTTTAAGACTGATCGATGAAACATCTATTTTAAACATTTGCATGCAAATAAGTTCATTCATATCACGCCAAAACAGATTTGTCTCCAACATTCAGATATGAAAATTCATTATGGACATTAAGTCAACAGATATTCACCAGAATATAAAGGGCATATAGACTGTTGCTTTTTTCTCTCCCCTTAAGTATGCAAAGGCCTGTGTTAATAGAGATCTTTGTAAATCTGCTAATCTTTGAGTCTGTTGACGGAATCTTAGGCTGTCGCATTTCTCACTGTGTATGCAAGAAACGGCATACAAGAGTAGAGCCGAACATATTTGCACTGCAATAACACACAGCAGGGGATTACAGGGTAATTTTCATATCTTGAGTGTGTTGTTTAGTAGAGTCAGACACTTCAGCTTACCTTCTGCTTGGCGTAGTTGTTATGGCCAACCAATGAGACACTTTTAATAAAAGTTGTCTGTCTATGCAGTAGAAACATTTAAAAAAAAATTTGCTGTGGCAAAAAAGTTAAGAAAACTTGAACACTCATAATGCATTGGGCTCAATTAGAATATGGGTGAGCAGGGACACAGAAGTACGGTAAAGCCCAAAAATCTATCAAAAGACTGCCAAATGACACACACTGCGATTTTGCTGGAAAATGAACAGGGATATCTTGGTGCAGGTAACATGGAAAAGTAATACACATTGTTAACTTGCTTTCAGCATACCTTTTAAATACTTGCAGTATTCTTGATACTTATTGTGGGGAAGTACTATTCCAGGTAATGAATTTCTATGTATTTTTTTGTGTGCTATTGCTTTTTACTACAGTTCAATAAACAAGGTATCTATTTACTCTGTCAATAAAAATAGTTCCAAACCAAGTCAAAGCAGAATCAACCATTGCGTGTCTCCAGGCGACACAGTTGTTTTTAATTAATTAATGAATCAGTGTTTTTTGAGGGGTTAGTGAATGATTCAATGACTTGCTGATAAAGACTTAACACTTGTTGTCAACTACTGGTGTAATTTAGTCACCCACCACTAATATACAGATTGACAACTTACTGTATGGAACATCTAAACTTTAAAAAGCAGAATGATACAAACAGTGAAAAGTCCTAGTCCTACTGAACTAAATATCAACACTTTTGGAGTACTGCTCAGCCAATCAGATTAGGAAGGAAATTAATGTTGTATATAACATTATGTTACAAATGTTTGTAAACTCCAGGGTAAAGCCTCCCAGAGAAATACATGAGAAAATTTATAATATGTGTTTATTTTCTTAATGTTTATATTCTCACTACTATTATTGGCCTTTCTTTAGCCCTTTGGGATTTTCAACATACTTACATACAGCACACACAAAGCCAGCTACAAGGGGATGATAGCATCAGATTCAACAGATACACTATGATGTGTGTATGGAACAGCTACTTCAGCATTTGTATATCAGTTGTAGGGGTTATAAACTAAGAAGCTGTTGAAGCTCTGCAAAATAAGTGGGATTGGATAACATTGTACAGAGGACCTCATCTGACCACCAATATGTCCCCTTAAAAAAGGTGCTTAATAGTGAATAAAGGCTTATCTTGTCTACCTGTTCGTGTAATTTTAAATAATATCTCCTTCACGAGGAACAAGATTTAGTTAACTAAAAAGAGGCTCTAAAATGTCTTTTTGATTAGGTCATGCTCATTACAGCAGCACCTTGGGGGCTTTTTTATTTTCAGTCTAAAAAATGTTGTTGATGTTAGTCTGATTTAGATAACTGCTAAAACCATAGGCATATTTCTGAAACAATGGAAAATATAAAAGATCTCTAGCTAAAAATGCACAAACATCTTGATTTACTATCCAATTAGTTTTGGTTTTGCCGTAGAGAGCAATGTCTATCTGAAATCTTATAAAGTAATTCCACAGCGATGACTCAGAATTGTACATTTTACAGAACTGAGATGAAGATTAAACATTTTTTTCATCACTCCAAGCCATGCATGTGTTTGGCGTAGACCACCTCAACCAGGCTTATTTTTTCATTAACACTTTCTGAGATTAATTGAACTTGGAGAAACATCTAACATGAGACATACAAAGCACTTGGGGTGCTCAGATGAGTCTTCAGCTGCTATAGGCATCCACTTCAAAATTCGACATTCTACATTCAAAGATACTCTTCTGCACAGTAGTGTGTGGCTATTTCAGTTACTGTTGCTTTCCTGTCAGAATTCTCATCTAATCCCTCTTATTAACAAGGCATTTTTGCCACAGAGATGCTGATACCACAGCTTTTGTTTCCACACAAGTTATATTAACCCCTCATAATGGATGTTCATATTATTTTGTCCAACCCCTGTATGTATTTTATATAAATATACATGATGTTTTATATACAATTACAGTGGGCCCCAAAAGTATTTGGACTCTTAAGTCAAACTCTGTACAAATTGACATATTATTAGTGCATAGTAGATGTACTTTAAATA